TTTTGAAAGTTATGGACCTGTGCATGGATAGTTGGAGTAGAGTGGTGTAAAAATTAGCCATGTAGCATTGACTAAAAACCATGATACCCTCCATTAACTGGATTGACAGGAGATGATGAAGAGGTCAGATGAAGATGAAAAAGTGGATTGGCCAATTTTTGACTTTCCTCTTATACATGGTTTAGAGCCACTCAAGTGGTACCAATGGAGTTCTCTGGCAGTGGCGTAGCTACACCCGGGCCTGGGCCCGGGTATCAGATCCCAGGTCAAATAATTAGACAGTTGAAATATCAATGATCATTTGTTTACCAGAGATTATTGAGCACTGCTCTACAAGAATATGACTTCTTTCCTTGATTTTGATTGTTTAGCAATAGTATTTTGTGAGATCTAACACAAAAACCAGCGACCTCATATAAATTCTACTCAAAAGCAGCCATTTTCCAGCGGTTTAATTGACCATGCCCATCATGAATATCATTAACAGCGGGAAAATTTTTTTGGCGCACTTCGCACACCAATTATTTTTCTTTTTGGGCCCAGGCATCACAAAAGGTCTGGCTACGCCACTGTCCTCTGGTCAAGATAAGGTCCTCTAAGAAGCTGGTAAGCATAGGAGCTCTTTTTTCCAGTATAGCAAGGCTGCAAAAGTCATGGCAGACATATTGTTTTGGAGTGAATCCCTAGTTAGTAACGCTACCGCATTACTAATGTCCCATACTTTATTCCAAAAATGGGTTCAAAAAATTTTTTCAACTGTGTGTATGTGTACTTAATTCTTTTAGGATTTTGCCACATCATCTCTTAAACGTGAAGTGGCTGCAGAGAATCAAGAAGATATTTCAATGGAAGAAACACTGCAGGAATATCAGATTGATAAGAGAAAGCTATGGGAACAAAGGTATAGTTCTTACAGTTTTATTTATGTAATCTACATTATTTATATTTTTTATTATGTAGCTATTACCCTTATTTGTTCTTGAATGAAGATGGTATGACAATCACATTTGTTGGTTTTAATGTCACTTGTACTGGAGACCTAATGGATCCTGTTAAAGGTTTGATAATAGAAGCAGGAGTAATGAAACCACAACTGCACACTGGGCTGCAACATAATCTGGTCAATCTTTCTGAAAATTATCAATCCTGGCAAAAGGACACTATGATAGAAAAGATTGGAATGGTAATGGGTCTTGAATGGAGCTGGGACCCAGACCCTACTTATGTACTGACAGTTGATAATGTAATCAAAATAATGGCAATACATATGAGATTCAGGTATTATATCAATTATATAATTTCAAAAAGGCAATATGCATGTAAAAAAATTAAAAGTTGATCATTATTTACTCTTGATTTTTTGATTTTTAAAGGTGTAATATACCAGTAGTTATAGTGGGTGAGACTGGTTGTGGTAAGACAAGACTGATCAGGTACATGTGTGACCTTGCTGCCAGAGGCTGTAAAGATGGACGAAGTCACGTCCAAAACATGCTTATTATGAAAGTGAGATAGTTGGCTTTTTAAATTATATGTATTAATTATTTTTTTAGGTTCATAGTGGTACTTTAGAAAGTGATGTTATTAAAAAAGTAGAAGAGGCTGAAAAGATTGCAGCTAAGAATAGAAATGATCATGGAATTGATACAATATTATTCTTTGATGAAGCTAATACAAGTGATGCTATTGGCCTAATAAAGGAAGTGATGTGTGATAGGAGAATTAATGGCAGACTAATTGAAGCTGATGTTAAGTTTATTGCTGCATGTAATCCTTATAGGAAGTGAGTATGCATAATTTATTTTTTTATTTTACTAAACTGATTTATTTGTAGACATACTGATAAGATGATTAGTAAGCTTGAATCAGCTGGTCTTGGATTCTTTGTAAAAGCAACAGAGACTCAGCAGAAGTTAGGTACATGTACATGATGTTTGAATATTTTGTCAATATCAGCTATATTTGCATTTGGCTTGCCCTTATACATTGTAGCTAATATTATTGTTACTAATTGATCCTCTAGCTGAATGCAACAAAAACTTTTAAAATTTATGATTTACAAAATAAAAACATTAATGAAATTATAGTATTCCTTAACTTTAATTAATAGGTAAAATCCCACTCAGACAGCTAGTGTATAGAGTACTGGACTTGCCTCCCAGCATGAGACCATTAGTGTATGACTTTGGACAGTTGAACAATGCAACAGAGAAGGACTATACAAGACAGATAGTGAAAGATAGGTGTCATGTTATTTCTGAAGTTACTGGTCAAACAGCTGTCATAGAGTCTGTGGCTTATGTACTGGTGTGGTCACAAAAATACATGAGAGGAAGAAATGTATGACTGCATAATAATTAATGTTAAAGGGTAACCACCATGTATTTTTAGGGTATTTTTTATAGGCTTAATATGATTGCCTGACCATACTAATGATGTGTATTCAGTTTTACTATCTAAAAAAATTTATTCACTGAGATATGAGCTCTCAAAGATGCTTATTTTTGCTTCCTGCCATACTAAGTACTTCCAGTCAGTGGGTGTGGCTAAATGTGACATCATATCATATCACAAGAGGCATAGATGCTTGTATAAAAATAATTGTAAACACATTGCTTTATAGGTGAAATTGATTCTTTATTTTTCTGCCTAATAATGCAATATAGCACTAATGTAAAGAATGGGATCATTACCTTTCCTTATTCTTAGTATGCGGGCAATGCAAGAAAAAATTCAATTCCACTTATAGGTAAATCCTTATGTTTACTATTTTGAGTCTTTTTCTTGCATTGTCATACTAAGAATAAGGAAAGGTAATGATCCTATTCTTTACATTAGTACTATTACATTATTAAGCAGAAAAATACCATATACTGGGAAATT